ATGTTAACTTGATCTGTGTTCCCCTTGGCTGCTGCAGTTTATTCAGCATTCCGGACAGTTTATTTGACAATATTCCAATCTATCTTAAGATGAAGAACCTATAATAGAACCAACCCACAAAAGTACCTTTGCTCTGTAATTATGAAACCTGAGGATTTTTTGGCTATTTCAAGAATGAAAGGAAGAGTGACAAAATTATTAAAATTAATAAGTTGAGACGGCCCTGCTCTGGATAATTATGCATTTATTAAATGAGGGTAATAGCTCTTTATACAAAATTTTAAGCAGCGCTCCTTCAATTTCGTAGCAGGAGGCCCATCACCACAGTAACATTTTAGTGCCCTGAAACTCATGCATTTAACAGTGCTGATTAAGATTAATGCAGGATGCATGCAGCCGAGTTTCAGCATCTGTTGGCATGCCTGAGCTTCCTTGGTGCAGAACAGAAGAACAACCCATTAGCAGAGCATCTTATCACAATGTCGAGAAAAGACAGTAATTTTTGGTTTCTTGCTTAGGCGAACTTCCAATAACTGGCGAAATCTAATACTTCATACGGTTAACAAAAGAAATGGAAACTGGCTGCATGCAACAGTTGGACTTTTGGCCTCTTGAGAAACGGTATCGTCCTATGCTTAATCACAGCACCTACTTGACCCAATTGGCGCCTATTGTTTCCACTTCCAGTAACTCATTACAGTTTCATGTACTCGTGGCCTCTGTTGAGTATCCCGCCATACAGTGCTCATACACGTGCCGATGGTCATTATGGTATACTTACACTTTTGGCTTGACTTGTAGCTTTCGAAACCGATCTGTTCATCCCATTCAGGCACGCTGACCTCACCCAAAGTTCGAGGTGTTGAACTCTGACCTCAGTTGTGCCAAATTTCCATCGAAATTTGTGCTAAGCTGATGACCGCCAAATTGCTATTAGCCTGGAGCCGCGCTTTAGCAATTGACTTATGCATCGGTCGCGTCGTCCGAACCTCTTTGTGAGGCTTAGGCGCGGCGGTTTGTGTGCCCACCCTACCTACCGCAACCGTTGGTGCAGATCTTAGGAAAACATATGAATTTGCTCGTCTGCTTTACGGCCCGAGCTTCTTCGACTCAGAGGCCAGCGGAGGCTCAGCCACTAATAGCTTCGGTAAGCAGTCGGTCGTCGATCTTTGGTCCAGTTCTGCAGGCCTATTCAACCGCTAAGCCGCACCGCTTGCAATAGTCATTAACGTCGCAGCCCA